TTATAGTTTCCCCTGGGGAATTCGCACATATAAACACAAAAAGAGATATTTACCCATATATGCATACAAGAACTACGGCCTAAATATAAGTCCAAGAAGACACGTGTTATACATAGCACATTTTCAAAGTTTCACCTCAGTAAATCTTCAACGTCACAGGTTTATCTCGGTAGTTAGACCCAGTGGCGTAGCGAGGTCGGGTGTCACCCGGTGCGGCACTTAATGGTGTCACCCCCCAGAGGGGACAAACTTTCGATTTGCACCCCCACCCCCTCAAGTTTTCGATTTGCATCCCCACCCCCTCAAACTTTCGATTTGCACCCCCTCTCTCAAGTTTTTCTCTATATATTTTGCTATTTTTTGCCTTGGTGTCACCCCCCTAAATGGATCACCCGGTGCGGTCCGCACCCCGCACCCCCCCCCTCGCTACGCCCCTGGTTAGACCCATGTTTCCCAAATAATTTTTTTTGTTTTCAATACATTTCGTCTTTTAACATTATTATTATTTTTTTTTTACTTTAGTATTTCTACGACGAGTAGGATTTATTCGATTGTAACAATTAAAATATTAATGACATAACGATAATAAGAATTAGCAGGTGTTAACTTACAAGACACTGACGAATATAAAAATAAATAACAGACAATATTGAAAATTGACAACACGGTGCCATACTGTCAATTAACAAATCACCGGTATTTTATAATAATTAAAGTTTTCCATTCAGACTGAACTACCCGTATGACAGATGAAGTAGAGTTCACATGTTTCTGTAACCTATGCATATGAAGTGATGCCGTGGTCTGCATTATGTGGAGCTGCCTTTACTTTCCCCTCATTTGGGTCGGGTACACATCAGAGCTGTCTAAAATCGTGCATTCAAGAATCCGGACCACTTCCGGTTATCGGAAATCGCTCAAAAGTTGATACCGATCTACGATTTTGATATAATAATTATATATGAAATGTCATCTACCTAGCTGTAAAGGTACTCAAATTATCGTGTTTACAGACACACACACACACACACACACACACATACACACACACACAGACATACGGACAAGATTGCAAAACTATGTTTTTCCAACTCATGGAGGTGTAAAACGTCGAGATTAGGCAAAAATCTCAATTTTTTTTTGCCCGTTTACAATACTTTCTCTATACTCTGTATATACGAGAAAGTAAAAAAAACCAAACCTGCTGACCCAAATGTTTGATCACCTTTCAGGTAAACCGGATGTAGTAAGCATAAGTTGGACACCCAAAGACTTGTCCCCGTCTTCAGAGGTCACTGTCACTGTCCAATACAAGGCTCGTAAGTTACATACTCAATGTCCATCTACATCATAGAGTTCGTTTGTTACACTCCATGTCCATCTACGTTATAGAGTTCGTTTGTTACATAGACAATGTCCATGTCCACTACAGGGCTCGTAAGTTACATACTCTATGTCCATCTACGTTATAGACTTCGTTTGTTACATAGACAATGCCCATCTACGTTATAGAGTTCGTTTGTTACATATACAATGTCCATGTACATTATACAGTTCGTGTGTTAGACACGATCAGTGTACATTACAGTGTCCGTTACATGGACACTGTCAATGTACATTAAATAGTTCGTTACATAAACACTGTTCATGTACTTTATATAGTCTGCTAGATAGACACTATCCATGTACATAATAGAGTTCGTTTGTTACATAGATAATGTCCGTATACATAAATAGTTCGTTAGTTATATAAACAATGTCCATGTAAATTATAGAGTTCGCTACATAGACACTGTCCATGCATATACAAAGTTCGTTAGTTACATAGACACGGTCCTTGTACATACAGATTTAGTTACATTTATCATGGCCAGCCTAACTCTCTTGTTTGGATTTTGTCATGGCAAAAGTTATCCCGAATATCAAAGCTACCGCAAAAGCCTAAGGATAAAGATAAGCACAAATAAGTACGGAACAGTAAAATCTAGACTTAAATAGTTTGGGCACAGTAGACTTAAATTGTTTGGTTACAGTAAAACTTAAATTGTTTGGTTACCGTAAAGCTTAAATAGTTAGGGCACAGTAAACTTAAATTGTTTGGTTACAGTAAAACTTAAATTGTTTAGTTACAGTAAAACTTAAATAGTTTGGTTACCGTAAAGCTTAAATAGTTAGGGCACAGTAAAACTTAAAATAGTTTGGTTACAGTAAAAATTAAATAGCTTGTTTACAATAAAACTCATATAGGTATGTTACAGAAAAACTTTTTATAGTTACGATGCAGTAAAACTGTAATAGTTATGACACAGTAAAAACCTCCCAATAATTAAAATACAGCAAGTTACAGTAAAACTTCAAATTTTTCCAGCATTCACCATGAACAGCGGCTACTTCAACGCGAGCCTCTACTTCCACGGTGACCCTTCACCTTTCCTTGGTTACGCTGACAACATTGACTGTGAGATGATGAAACAATATAAAGCCCCCTGTCCCATCCATAAAAGATGTACGTCACACATTTTCTGTCAACGGTTTTTATTTTCTATAAACACAGTTTGTTTTCTGTCATGAAGTTTGTAAATAGTTTTTTATTTTCTATAAACAGTTTGCTTTCTGTAATAAAGTTTATAAAGAGTTTAATTATCTATTATTATTCTGGTCATTTTTTTTTCAGTTGCCATTACGCTGACTCAAACAATTCCCAACCTGCACATTCTGACAAGCTATCCTGTAAGTAACCCTATTTTTTTCTACACATTACCTTAGACCAGGGGTCTCTAAACTTTTCAGTCCGATGGCCGCATTTACTATCAAATTTCAGTTCGGGGGCCATTTTCTTCCTGCATGTCTTTAATTTTTCTGGTCAAAGTTCCTCAGCCATCACCAACAAACTTTTTTTTTTCCGTGGACAAAAATATCTCTGCGGGCCGGATAAGAGGACCTCACGGGCCGCATACAGAGACCCCTGCCGTAGACATTTTTTGTATACTAACATTGCCCTGTTGTTATATAAGTAACTGTTATCCCTTTGTCAATTGGTAACGTTTTTAAAATAGAAAAATGTTGGATTCTTTCTTCAGTTTTTACATATTATTACCCGATATCCGACAGCATGATATATAGATAAACATTCAATATAAAGTAAATTTGAACTAGATTAGATTTTTTTTCTGCTGCTAAGGCATTCGTCACCATTTACCGTTTGTGCCCGAGACACATAAGGCAGATGAAGTAGAGTTCATCTGTTTCAACGATCTCGGCATACAAGCGTATAATGTGTTCAGCACCATACCCAAGCCGCCCATAGTCCATCAAATCAACCAACATCATGCGGCAATTTTCTCCGTTATCAATCCACCCCCCCCCTGATCCATCACCCCCTGGATAATCAATCAATTCCTTTTAAACACATATTATAATTAAACTGATTAATCTCCATATCCAGCTCCCTATCCATAATCCCAATTCTTATCCCTATCCCCATTCTAGTGCTAAACCCTGTCCAAAAAAACCCTATCGCAAATCATGTCCCTAATCCTAAACAAATTATTACCACCTATCCAAAATCCTACTTTATCTAATAGTATTATACTGTATCCTACATTATCCTACTATATCTTACAGTATTCAACTATAATGTGCTGTATGCTACGGTATCCTACTATATCCTACATTATCCTATTACAACTTACAGTATCTAACTACATCCTTATGCATCTTACTTATCCTAGAGTATCCTACTATATTCTACAGATAACATTTCATTCTACTTTATTGTACTATACCCTACAGTATGCAACTATATTCTATATTATGCTACTATTTCAACTTTACTATATAATATTTTATACTATTATACCGTATGCTACTATTAATTTTCTACCGTAGCTAACAATCCTACTTATTTACTCTTACTTTAGGGCTACTACGACGCCATCATTGAAGTAGTAAACGAACTTGATCAGCAAATGTTATGTGTCAACATCAGCCTACACATACTTGAGGTGTATAACGAGGAAATTGACGACTTTTATTAAATGAAATATCAGTTATAATGATTTATAAAGATTTATATTGTTTAGCTCAATACATGAAATATCATACAAATAGATGAGGTTTTTTTATAGTGAATAAAATGTGTTAATTAAAAACTTAATTTAATTTAATCGAACTAGAATCTAATTTATGTATGTGGATTATAATGAACTTTTATTTATTTAAAACAGACCATACATTATAAAGATAAAAATATACACGATTCAGCAAAACTCTACTATGCGTTAAATATTATTTAAAAACCTTTATGCGTACGACAAAAGAATGTGTCTTATAGATAAATATTAAATATCTTACATTTAGGCTATACAAATCGATAATTGATTTTTATCCGCATTTAATAATAGTTTTACATACTGCCGTAGCTTTTAAAAACTGATATAAATTATAATGAAATGAACGAGTCGCCTACCTCACATACTTGCTACTGGTCTCAGTAAATACTTTAAATAGTTGGGAATTTTAAAGTATTATGTAAAGAAAAAAGCTAATCTTATGATGTTCTAAATATAACAATAGGCATAACACTTTGCCCGAAATAAAGATTAAAGAATATATTTAATATATTTTAAAATGACGCATAACGAAATCAAAATAAAGATCTGAGGTTATTATCATCATCATATTTTCAATTCTCTTTTACATTTTAAGTAATTTTTTACAAAATTTAATATAGTTTTGTGTTGATTGATCATTATAAGAATAATGTACTCCGTGTGTATATATAGTCAAAAACCTCTGCGTGTTGGGTCAATGGTAGCTGAAGTGACGTTAATGTAAATTAAAGGATATTTGGTCAAGGGATTTAAGCGAAGCCTCATTGCCCCATCCCCCATCCTCTTTACACAATGGAAAAATGTATGTGCGAGAAAATTTTAATATCTTTAGGACGTCCATATGGATATATATATATATATATATATATATATATATATATATATATATATATATAATATATATATATATATATATATATATATATATATATATATATATATATCCATATATATATATATATATATATATATATATATATATATATATATATATATATATATATATATATATATATATATATATATATATGCCTGTATGCTTGCTCTCCACGGGAAAATCCTTCAAGCACCCATGTGCATACACAATTCGTATTGATGTAGTTTTCGCATTGTGAAATTACTTGATTGAAATGTTGATTGTTTCCTGTTCAAAGATTGCTATTCATTTAATGTAATCTAAACGTTTGATTGATATGTTGCTCTTATGTTTTTGATCAACATTTCGATCAATCAGGATTTTGAACAATAAAAAAAATAAAAAGTAAACCAAAGCTTGTTTGGGTTGTTAGTTGTTACTGTATATTGTTGTCGTCGATTTCGTAATTCAAAACTGCAGCATAAAAATATTTTTACAACCCCTCCGCCACCCCCCCCCTGCCTCCCAGGGTCGGCCGCCTCCCCCTCTCCCCCCCCCCCCCCCCAGCTTTGCCTCTAGATATTACTTCCTGTTTCTACTTTTAGTCAGACCGTGTAGCTAACACTACACTGGGATTTCCGATAAATTTTCATAAACTTTATGACAACAGAACAGAAGTTTCAACCACTTGTGGTGCTGGCTTGTGTGGTCTCTCAATATTTACGTTATATATTGTGGTAAGTGAAGTTTATTGACATCATAGCGTACAGTTTTACGGGGTGTACTTGTCATCGGTGTTGAGGATATAGATCTCACTACGGTGCAAGTAGGTGCTTGTATATCCAGCTAGCTAGTACCTGTGTAAAGAGCTGTATCAGTATCCTAAGCTTGCACAGCAAAGTTTTCCCTTAAGTATTACTGTTGTGTCAGTAGACATGTCATGTCAGTAGAACATGTGTCAGTAGCAGTGGTGTGTCAGTAGGAGTGTTGTGTCAGTAGACATGTCATGTCAGTAGAACATGTGTCATTAGGAGTGTTGTGTCAGTAGGAGTGATGTGTCAGTAAGAGTGTTGTGTCATTAGGAGTGTTGTGTCATTAGGAGTGTCATGTCAGTAGGAGTGTTGTGTCAGTAGGAGTGTTGTGTCATTAGGAGTGTTGTGTCATTAGGAGTGTCGTGTCATTAGGAGTGTTGTGTCATTAGGAGTGTCATGTCATTTGGAGTGTCGTGTCATTAGGAGTGTTGTATCATTAGGAGTGTTGTGTCATTAGGAGTGTTGTGTCAATAGACACGTCATGTCAATAGGAGTGTTGTGTCATTAGGAGTGTTGTGTCATTAGGAGTGTCGTGTCAGTAGGAGTGTTGTGTCATTAGGAGTGTTGTGTCATTAAGAGTGTCGTGTCATTAGGAGTGTTGTGTCATTAGGAGTGTCGTGTCATTAGGAGTGTTGTGTCATTAGGATTGTTGTGTCATTAGGAGTGTTGTGTCATTAAGAGTGTCGTGTCATTAGGAGTGTTGTGTCATTAGGAGTGTCGTGTCATTAGGAGTGTTGTGTCATTAGGATTGTTGTGTCATTAGGAGTGTCGTGTCATTAGGAGTGTTGTGTCATTAGGAGTGTTGTGTCATTAGGAGTGTTGTGTCAGTAGTAGTGTCGTGTCAGTAGGAGTGTCGTGTCAGTAGTAGTGTCGTGTCAGTAGGAGTGTCGTGTCAGTAGTAGTGTCGTGTCAGTAGTAGTGTCGTGTCAGTAGGAGTGTTGTGTCAGTAGTAGTGTCGTGTCAGTAGGAGTGTTGTGTCATTAGGACTATCATGTCATTAGGACTGTCATGTCAGTAGACATGTCACGTCAGTTGAAGTGTTGATGGTCACAAATATACAAATATACTAACTTTTTAATCGAAGCAGTATTGTTGAAAATTAAGCTTTGCTACTTCATTACTTTAAATTTACGGCTCTTTGCATTTTCAAAAATCGTTCAAAATGTCATCAGATGTCATCAGAGGTCATTTTCAACAATAGGCATACAGGGGAGGATAGTTGTGTTTGCCCATCCTTGACCGCAGAAACTTTGTGATGTATTTATGTTCACATTCAGCAATATTTGTTTCGAAAATTGAAAAGATATATCTGGAATACAATATATAGGCTATATTCGGAAAACTTTCATCAAATGATCTTCTAATTAACCAGATTGTTTTTCGCGTACATTCTTACAACAACTGTAAATGCTTCTTCCATGTTTAAGAGGGGGAGGGGGGGGGGGAACGTATGCAAAAAATTGCCAAGGGCCTTCGAAGACCTTAAACTACCCTACACATACATCAACAAAGAATTTCTACATAAATCAATTATACATGTCCCGATACATGAATAATTTATGTCAGCATACTTTAATAATGCTTTATAAACATAATATATCAATAATATATATTATGTCAACATAATTCAATATTTTATCTCCATATATACCAATAATATATCATGACATATGTTAACAACATTTAATTATTTAGACTACATTCATATATTCGAACAAACTTGTATTAAAAAAAAGCACATATCCAAGACACGCACATATCCACAAACGCACACACATTAATAAAACACAATATCCACAAGAACACACATATCCACAAAACACAAATATCCCCAAGAACACACATCAACAAAACACAAATATCCACAAAATACGCAAAACACAAAATGTTCATAGAAACTTACTATCACCTGAATATCTATTTAATTGTTGAATTTTTCCTGTACATAAAGACATTTTATAATGGTGCATCTCTTCTTTTGTTCAGAGTAAATCACCATCTTCACAATGAGCAGTATATTTTCAACTGTACTATTTCCCTTCGTCCTTGCCCTGCTCTTTATCCACGGGCTGAGTACGGCGAAAAATATCAAGGTCATGTCCATCAATCCAATCAACGTATCAGACGACAACAACACGGGAATAGCCGTCAATTGTGGTAAAATAATTTGATTTTATTTCTGTTTAATAAAATTTTCTGATTGAAATTTTTTTTAACCTGATGGTCGCTATATATAGTGTTATGTGACTTTTTTTTTTACAAAAGGCTTCCCGTGCTCTTTCATCCTGGAGTAAGTTTACATTTCAAATCATCGGCATTAATCTACATGAGCAACTACAGGTCTGAAATATTTATTAGCTCAAAGATGGAAAGAAACATTCGCTCGGAAGATTAAATAGAATGAAACTGGAAATTTACCAAAATCGGTGGACGGGTGGTGTGGGGTGTTAAACAGATGTTATGGGAGGATAATATATAAGACGTGGGTGGGAACCAGTGTTTCTTTCAGACATTTTTCTCCTGGGGAGCATTGAAATTTTTAAGAGGGTTAAATTAAATATTTTCTTTATGAATGACATAGAGATGGGGAGATAGTGGCGTGCTGCGTGGGGTGGGGGAAGAAATGTCCGAAATAAACTCTTGTGGGATTGGGTGTTAAGAACAAGGATCTGGGGTGCGCTTTGAAAATAAAAGAATCTTAAAGAGATTTATCTTCTGGAATCGCGATTCCACACCCTGGCCCTAACCCCGACACTATGCTGATCCCCATCTTGAACCTCGCCCTACACATGTCCCTGACATTGATAGAGGAAAAAAACCCAAATTAGAACCTCCATATAGTACTTGTTATACTGGGGTCTATGTATCCCGCAGTTATGCAGTGAGAGTGTTTATTTACACAATCATCAAGTTCCTCTCTAACCAATTCAGTGTTCATCATAAAATTCTGACAAGTACGACGACATCAACGTTGAGAAAAGACTTGATAGTTTACTGTTTATTGCACCATAATAATAATTGTGACGACTTGAACAAATGAAATTGATACTTGACTACATTGCGACTTCACCCCAAAACTACAAGAACAAGATTACCTAATCTTATTTTTCCGGCAACAACGATTCTACACTGAAACATCACGTTTTTGCTTACCGCGTCACATCTTCATGCGTTTGTTATATATTTTTTTGCACTAATATTAGTTCGCACCAACACGCCTGATCAAATACACAACATAACAGTATTGTATTGCTATACAAACGTTTTTAAAAAATCTCATCAGAGACGAAACTACTGCACCGCTAATTCCGTCATGATATTGTGGGAGTTGAGGGGTGGGGGGAGGGGGTTCAGGCCGTTAGGTGGACACAAAAAACATACACAATCCGACTATTAATAAAACAAAAAAAATCCGTTATCAAAATTTTAATTCATATTACATTATATCTTTTTCTTGGTGATGAATTTTAAAAGATCGCGTTATCTTCAGTTCTGCTCTTGCTAAATCACTAGTTTGCATCTTTGCATCAGAAAAGTAAAAAATAAAAATAAAAATATGAATATGTATGGCGTGTGTGTAGAAAAAAAAGGGGGGGGGGGGGAATTTGTGTCTTGTACTGCTAAATGAATACCATGCCGGGAATGTTTCTTGTATTCCTAAGGTGACCTAACAGGAAGTATAATTCATAACCTTAATTTACCGAAGGTTAAAAGTGGCTTCATAATACCACGTGTACGCAAAATGGAACAAAATCAAATATACATGTGGTTAAATGACGTAATGCTATTTTAACAAATGTACCTTTCCCCCCCCCCCCCCCCCTAACGCCTTATGGACACAAAAAGCCAGAGACATAATAATGATGAAATAACATTTAGTTTTTAATAAAAAAAAATAATCTATTAAAATGAAAATTTGTGACATCACACTTTCTGAATCCACCCCCCCCCCTTCCTTATCGGACATCGTTATCATAGTCTCAAACATACTACCTTTCTAATCGATGATAATGAGTTGTGTGTCTAGCAAGTGGCGTAGGCGGGGCGGGGGGGGGGAGGTGGGTTAAAATCAATTACAGTCACATATCCAACCAACGTATACCTAGGTGTGACATTATTGTCATTCTACACAATTTAGGCCTGACACGTTTTAGGTGGTAAGGTGGGGGGGGGGGGGAACTTAGATTTAAATAAGTAACAGTGGTATTAAGGCTGTAACATTTTTTTACAGAGCGATCGATGGGGTTTAACCCCCCTAAATCCCCCTGTAGACGCCCCGGGATAGCAACACGTATAGGCGCCCTATGGTAGTCACATGTATAGACGCCCTTGGATGGTCACACGTATAGGCGCCCTGGGATAGACACACGTATAGGCGCCCTGTGGTAGTCATACGTATAGGCGCCCTATGGTAGTCACATGTATAGGCGCCCTGTGATTTCACATGTATAGGCGCCCTGGGATATTCACATGTATAGGTGCCTTGGGATATTCACATGGATAGACGCCCTGTGATAGTTACGCTTATACGCGCCCTATGGTAGTCTCATGTATAGGCGCCCTATGGTAGTCACACGTATAGGCGCCCTGGGAAAGGCACATGTATAGGCGTCCTGTGGTTATCATACATTTAAGCGTCAAGGGTAACCAAACATATACGACCCCGGTGGAAGTCACCTCGGGTTGTCACACATAGATGACCTCGGGTTGTCACACATAGATGACCTCGGGTTGTCACACATAGATGACCTAGGGTTGTCACACATAGATGACCTCGGGTTGTCATACATAGATGACCTCGGGTTGTCACACATAGATGAACTCGGGTTGTCACACATAGATGACCTCGGGTTGTCACACATAGATGACCTCGGGTTGTCACACATAGATGACCTCGGGTTGTCACACACTGATGACCTCAGGTTGTCACACATAGATGACCTAGGGTTGTCACACATAGATGATCTCAGGTTGTCACACATAGATGACCTAGGGTTGTTACACATAGATGACCTCGGCTTGTCACACATAGATGACCTCGGGTTGTCACACATAGATGACCTCGGGTTGTCACACATAGATGACCTCGGGTTGTCACACATAGATGACCTCGGGTTGTCACACATAGATGACCTAGGGTTGTCACACATAGATGACCTCGGGTTGTCACACATAGATGACCTCGGGTTGTCACACATAGATGACCTCGGGTTGTCACACTCAGATGACTTCGGGTTGTCACACATAGATGACCTCTGGTTGTGACACACTGATGACCTCGGGTTTGTAAAAAAAAGAGTAGCTTTGGAATTGTCACACGTATAGGCCCACGCTGGAAGTCGCACATATAACTCCGAAAGTGTATATATATACACACTTATACACGCTTATGCATAGGAGAACTACGGCCTACATAAAATATTAAACAGAAGACACGCTTTATAATTAGCACCTATTTTAAAACGTTTTTCTTAACTCAGCTTCGCGTTTGTTTGTTTGGTTGTTTGGATGTTTGTTGTTAAAATTGACATCGAAAATTAGCCCACTTCTGATTGCTCTAGAGACCTGAAATTTGGCATGCAGGCTACTTTCGCCTAACAATTTCAGATGCAATCATAAAAACTAGCAATTAGTGACCGTAATTAGCTTAATTTAATTACGCCCCAAGGACCATAAAATTGAGGACATGATTTCTATAGATACCGACAAGACTGGAGGCCTATTGACACAGTTACTTCGGCCCCAATCGATGTGAGCGCGCTGGCCGTGATCGTATAGTGGTTAGTACTTCGCGTTGTGGCCGCGACAACCCAGGTTCGAATCCTGGTCGCTCAAGATTTTTAGTCCGTGTATTTATAAACACTTTTTTTAAAACCACGTTTTTCATGTGTAGCAACGGACTAAAAAGGAGAAAATAAAATACTTAAAAAAAACTTTTTAAAAAACCACGTTTTTCTTGTGGACTAAAAAGTAGAAAATAACTATTTACATACATTTGATGACAAAAAACGTGGGTCGGGCAGATGGTTCGGGAAATTTGATGGTGAACGTACCCACGTTTTTTGTCATCAAATGTATGTAAATAGTTATTTTCTACTTTTTAGTCCACAAGAAAAACGTGGTTTTTTAAAAAGTTTTTTTTAAGTATTTTATTAAGTTTCACAGGAAGTAGAACTTCAACTTCAAAAGGTTCATATCAGTGTTTAGACGCACGTCTCGCAAGATGTTTTGTTTTCAACATTCTTTTTTAATTGTTTTTGTTTCTTTAGTATTTACACGGTGAAAAATATTTTACTAGGAGCTAACATTCTAAACATTAACGACATAATGACATGAACGACTGAGAATTAGCAGATATTAACTTACATGACACTGAAGATTTAAAATTTAATAACAGAGAAGATATTGACAATTAATAAAACATTGACATACTGATAATTTAAAAAAATCACCGGCAACTTATAAATAGTGAAGGTCCTTTTTTCAAACCGAATAACCCGGATGACGGATGAAGTAGAGTTCACTATGCCGAGTTATCTAACATGGGTCGGTCACACATCAAAGCTTGCTAAATAAACTACTGCATTCACAAGTCCGGATTGAGATTCGAACTCTAACCCCTCCCATCCGACCACTCTCGCTCGTATAGATTCAAACATTTTTTTAGAAACTAAAGATCCGTAGAGAACTACACAGATGAACTCTACTTCATCTGCTTTATTAAAGAAACCAAACCTGCTGACAAAAATGTTTGATCACCTTTCAGGTAAACCGGATGTAGTTAAAGTGAGTTGGACACCCAAAGACTTGTCCCCGTCTTCAGAGGTTACTGTCCATGTCTACTTCAGGGCTCGTAAGTTATATGGGCATTATAGTTAGTTATATAGACATGGTCCATGTACATTATAGAGTTCGTTTGTTACATAGACACTGTCCATCTACATTATAGAGTTCGTTTGTTACATAGACACTGTCAATCTACATTAAACCTAGTTATATAGACACGGTCCACGTACATTGAAGAGTTGGTTAGTTACATAGACATTGTCCATGCATATTATAGAGCTAGTTACATAGACATGGTCCATGTGCATTAAAAGGTTAATTGATTACATACACATTTACAAAGTAAAACGACAAATGACTACACTTTTCTAAAAGCACAATGATACAGTAAAACATTAAATGTCAAATCCAACGTTAACTAAAATGAAAGTACAGTAAGTTCCCATAGGTTACAGTAAAACTTCAATTTTTTTCAGCATTCACCATGAACAGCGGTTATCTCAACGCAAGTCTTTACTTTCACGGTTATAATTCACCTTTCCTTAATTACGCTAAAAACATTGACTGCGATATGATGAAACAATATACCGGTCATTGTCCCATCACTGAAAAATGTAAGTCGCACATTTTCTGAAACAGTTTATATTTTAACACGTTTTTATTAACTCAGCTTCGCGTGTGTTTGTTGTTAAAATTGACATCGAAAATTAGCCCACTTCTGATTGCTCAATAGATCTGAAATTTGGCATGTAGGCTACTTTCGCCTAACAATTTCAGATGCAATCATAAAAACTAGCAATTAGAGACCGTAATTAGCTTAATTTAATTACGCCCCAAGGACCATAAAATTGAGGACATGATTTCTAAAGATACCGACAAGACTGGAGGCCTATAGACACAGTTACTTCGGCCCCAATCGATGTGAGCGCGCTGGCCGTGATCGTATAGTGGTTAGTACTTCGCGTTGTGGCCGCGACAACCCAGGTTCGAATCCTGGTCGCTCAAGATTTTTTTAGTCCGTGTATTTATAAACACTTTTTTAAAAACCACGTTTTTCATGTGTAGCAACGGACTAAAAAGGAGAAAATAAAATACTTAAAAAAAAACTTTTTAAAAAACCACGTTTTTCTTGTGGACTAAAAAGTAGAAAATAACTATTTACATACATTTGATGACAAAAAACGTGGGTACGTTCACCATCAAATTTCCCGACCCATCTGCCCGACCCACGTTTTTTGTCATCAAATGTATGTAAATAGTTATTTTCTACTTTTTAGTCCACAAGAAAAACGTGGTTTTTTAAAAAGTTTTTTTTTAAGTATTTTATTAACACGTTTTTCTTAACTCAGCTTCGCGTTTGTTTGTTTGGATGTTTGTTGTTAAAATTGACATCGAAAATTAGCCCACTTCTGATTGCTCTAGAGATCTGAAATTTGGCATGTAGGCTACTTTAGCCTAACAATTTCAGATGCAATCATAAAAACTAGCAATTAGAGACCGTAATTAGCTTAATTTAATTACGCCCCAAGGACCATACAATTGAGGACATGATTTCTAAAGATACCGACAAGACTGGAGGCCTATTGACACAGTTACTTCGGCCCCAATCGATGTGAGCGCGCTGGCCGTGATCGTATAGTGGTTAGTACTTCGCGTTGTGGCCGCGACAACCCAGGTTCGAATCCTGGTCGCTCAAGATTTTTAGTCCGTGTATTTATAAACACTTAGTCAAGTCATACTTAATCAAGTCATTAGATAAAGTAGAAAATAAACTATATAAAAAACTTTTTTAAAAACCACGTTTTTCATGTGTAGCAACGGACTAAAAAGGAGAAAATAAAATACTTAAAAAAAACTTTTTAAAAAACCACGTTTTTCTTGTGGACTAAAAAGTAGAAAATAAATTTTCATACATTTGATGACAAAAAACGTGGGTTGGGCAGATGGGTCGGGAAATTTGATGGTGAACGTACCCACGTTTTTTGTCATCAAATGTATGAAAATTTATTTTCTACTTTTTAGTCCACAAAAAAACCTGGTTTTTTTAAAAAAAATTTTAAGTATTTTATTCTAAAACAGATTTTCTAAATTCATTTTATATTTCCTAAAAACTGTTTATATTTCCTAAAAACTGTTTATATTTTCTAAAAACAGTCTATTTTTTCTAAAAACTGTTTTTGTTTTCTGAAAACAGTTTATATTTTTTAAAATAGTTTCGATTTTCTAAAAACAGTTTATATTTTTTAAAAACAGTTTAGATTTTCTAAAAACAGTTTCGATTTTCTAAAAACACTTTAGATTTTCTGAAAACAGTTTAGATTTTCTAAAAACAGTTTCGATTTTCTAAAAGCTATTTCTTTTTACAAGTTTTTACTAAGTACATAACGTCCGGTTGTTGTTTGTGGCTTTGGATGACAGGGCGTTGAAATCAATTCTTTAATTTCATTAGATAGACATGTTAATATATATATATATATATATATATATATATATATATATATATATATATATATATATTCAAATATAACAAGATGAAATACTAGCTAGCGATCGCTTGATTCAAGCACCGTCATGGGTGAACTATCAATTCACGGTTGGCCAGAGGTTTGCCAGCGCCCGGGGACAAACTTTCAATTTGGCGCCCCCTCGGGAACAAACTTTCAATTTTCAATATGCACACCCCCCCCCCCCGTCAAACTTTCCATTTGCACCCCCCCCCCCCCCCGCCATATATTTTTTTTATATTTATAATGCTAAACTGCAGCTAAAATGGGATTTTAATATGTTTTTTCAACCCATTTTGGCGCCCCCTAAGTTCGGCGCCCGGGGACATATTTACCCCCCCCCCTTCGCTACGCCTTTGCGGTTGGCTGATTACACGCAATGCGTTGTAAATGAACAAAGTAGGCGTAATTAAAGACCACAAGCTACCGGTCTTGTTTTAACGCAAATATTTTTAGTCTTATTTGTTTTTATTTTCTATACAACTTTTGCGTAATAAAACTTCAAATAAATGTGCAAAATGTTTTAAATTCTAATGTTTGATGAGATATTATTATGGTAATATTTTTTTTTCAGTATTCTTTTCGTTTCCTAAAACAATTCCCAATTTGCACAGTCTGACAAAATATCCTGTAAGTAACCTTGTTTTTTTCTGTACATAACCTTTGACACTTTTTTTATAACTAACCTTGCCCTTTTGTTCTATAAATAACTTATACCCGTTTGTCAGTTGATAACGTTTTTAAAATAGAAAAAAATGTTGGATTCTTTCTTTAAACGTTTACAAATCATACGATAAAGATAAACATTCATAATTTTTAAAAAAATATGAACTAAATTTTTGCACTTCTGATTAGGAATTACTACTTGTTAATTAATGTTTCAGTAACCGAGTTTAGGACATTACCCGGCAGTGCATCAATGAACGCCGTCATATCTCATCTCCCCGGATATATTAACCCCTAGATAATCAATTTATTCCGTTTAAACACATGTTATACCTTAATCTATAAATCTTATAACCAGTTCGTATACATAACCTGATTCCTAACTATATCCCTATTCTTATCCCTATCGTCATTCTAGTGAAAAATCCTGTTCTAAACCCTATCGCTATGTTCTTATTAATCCTTGTCCTACCCCTACACTTATCCAAAATCCTATTTCATTCTATAGTACCCTACCAAATCGTTTATTATCTTGTAGTAACCTTTAGTATCCTACAAAATTTAAAGTATCCTACAATACCCTACAGTATCATCTTATATCCTACTATGTCATACAGTATGCTACAGTAACCTATCAGTAACCTATATACCACAGCGTATCGCACTTTTTAAAAAGAAGGTATGCACCATAGCGCTCACATGATAGCTCAGAGCGCCAAATCGCACCCTACCGAGGCGCTGGCGGGCGCGCCTGATTCATTGAACGATTATAATACCCGCAAAGAGGCACAGAACCCGTTTCAACTTACTATGATATATATTTGCGCTGTAAACTAAAAAATTCCACTATATCCTACTTTATGCTACTATATCAACCGTATCCAATAATCCCACTTAATTACTCTTATTTTAGGGCTACTTTGACGCCTTCATTGAAGAATTTAACAAACCCAAGCAGCAAATGTTATGTGTCAACAGCAGCCTACACATACTTGAGGTGTAGGGTCTACAACACACAAAAAGACGACTTTTATTTAAAAAAATATTTATATTTTTTAGGAAAGAAATATTTATATTCTTTAAATGAATAAATGAAAAATTAGACAAATATATTTCTTTAAAATGAATACAATTTTTTAATAAAAGTTGAATTTAACTTAAATAAACTAGAAACTACTTTACCTATGTATAATATACCAGGAAAACTGATATTATTGTTATTACCTTTTCTTTATTCCCATAACATACAGATAAAAATGTACTCGTATTAAGCAAAATTCTTCATCAAATATTGTTTAATTAATACCATTTTTGTGTTCAACATAATGAACGTATCTTAAAGAGATATTAAATTAGTAGTAGTTATTGAAAATATCCAAGAAAACTTTTTTTTTTCCTCTGTACATTTTGCAGCTTGGCATACACATAATACCCGATATTGACATTGTTTTTGCCTTGTGACACCGCATGCTTTAAATGTTTATCGTCTCCTGTACAAAGATTGCTCTTCTTTATGACTGCTATAAACATTTGATTGCTATTATTTTGCTCTTGAGTTTTTAGAAGACCCCGGATTTTGAATAATAAAAAATAAAATGTAAACTGAAGTTTTTGTGTATTAATTGTTATGGATTTAATGGCTATTGTTGTTATTCTGATGTAATCATTCAGAGATTTCTGCGAACGATCCAGTGGAACTTTTTTTGGTCCAGAAATGAAGTAAGGTGGATGGAAGGTCTGAATTTATGTGAGGATGCTGTACGCTAAATTGCGGAAAGGGGGTGGAGGGGTAGGGGATGAATGGTAGGAGTTTCAAGCTTGTTAACATGTAAGAAATTACAAACACGTTACCTTTAGTTACATTTCTATTTTTAGTAGAAGTGTTTATGCGTAAAAGCATGTTAAAAGAAGCGTTTTACTTTTTTAGAACGACATGGCGCCAATAGGTGAAGATTTGGGGGAACAGGAAGGCATATTAAAAATTGATATTAAAATTAAAGTACGTTTTGAATTTTTACATTAACATCCAGTACAAAGCTTGGTATAATTGGTATTAAACCCATTTTTTAATTTTATAAAATGGGACGGCGTGGCCTAGCAGTAGAGCGCTAGACCACTGATCCGAAAGTCTCGATTTCGAAATTACGGTTTAAGTTAGTAAAACTTCACTGATTCCACTCAGCTCTGAGTTTCCTTAGGGAAAGTAAAAGTTACTGGGCATAGTTATGACCACAATATTATTTCATATGCCGAAGTATTTTTAAAACACAAAAACATGTTGGCTGAGGTATGAATTCATTTTACTTGGTGTGTGTGTGGGGGGGGTGGCATTTTGTGATGCTATGTGACAGTGGGAAGGGGGAGATAAAAACCGTCAAGGAAGCATAACATCATTTGTGAATGACCCATAAACCAACAGTTATCCAAAGAATAATGGGTGGTCTAGTAGATTATTTTTTAATATATTTCTTGAAATTTCAACGGATTTTTTGAAAGTCTTGTTCTAAATGTTGTGTGTTGACAGTTCCTTATTTTAAAAAAATAGACTAGCTTCATCTATAGAACTATAGTAATTTACTCGTATAAAGGAAACATTTACAATACATTATTAAGGTGTAATTAGAACAAATCAGATTGAAAACGATAATTTATCTACGGGGAATGTTGAAGAGCTCCTAAGAGAGGAGTAATAATCGCTGTTGTAGCATAAACAAATTAATAATACGACTATTCGAACATGATACAATATTTTTAATACAAAATACAAAATAATTTTCAAGCGGAAAGTGAAAAACGGCGACAAATTATATTTGAGCTAATTACAAACTAGCAGTCATGTAATTAATGTTTAACTTGCCAATAATAACGGATACTCTTCCTAGAAATATAAAGAAAACCAAAACGTTTTTATGTTTACAAGGAGAGGATCCAGATTTTTTTGCCCTACTGTGCAGTAGTAGTGAGACATACACACTCAATTGATCAGCTCCAATTCACTTGTTCAATCATCGGAACAAATTTCCTGTTTCTATTTTTACGCGAACCGTGTCGTCAATTCGACACGGTCGTGATTACGTTACACCACTAGTTCAGTCTTTAGACAATCAGTGGCACCATAAGTGGTGCTGACTTGTGTGGTCTATCGTACGTAACCACGTTGTTGGGTCACAGGTAAGCGGACTTTGGGCACATCATACTTTAAGTTTTATATACAAATTTGGATGTTATATGGTTTGTCTTGGACTAGCTGTGTAACGAAACAAGTGTGTTTATGATGTGTGTGTAAACATGTTTATGCTTGTAAATGTGCCGGTATGTATGAGTGTGTGCGGGTGTGTGTGTGGCAATGTGTGTGTGTGTACTTGTATATGTAGGCCAATATTTATGATTTAGTGTATGTGTGTGTGCTTGTGTATGTGATTCTATGTGATTGTGTGTGCTGGTAATTACGTCTATATGTTTATATTGTATATATATATATATATATATATATATATATATATATATATATATATATATATATATATATATATATATATATATATATCTTTGCTACGTTTTTTTAAAAGTATTAGTCGTTTTACGCTTTTAAATAATATTTTCAATAGAATGATGAATACTTTAATTTTAAAGCGAGCTACGGTGCACGCACACACACACACACAAACACGCCCACACACACTTTCATTCAATTACAAAACGAAGTAGTAATAATACGCAATGTATTTAAATCATAATGTGGTTCATTATTTTCATTTGAATAGTAATAAAAATTAATGGTGTTTAAAAGATCATCACAAGCTAGTGGATTATCGATGCCCTGTTTCCATTGATTACATAAAATTATAAACTGCTCCTATTGTTTACAGTTAAATATTATAACCTCCCTATGTTTGCAGTAAATCCCCACAACAATGTCCAGTATCATATCAAATGTCCTGCTCCCATTCGTCCTTGCCCTTCTCCTTATCCACGTGTTGACTACAGCTAGCAATGTCAAGGTCATGTCCATCAATCCAATGCACGTGAAAGAGGACAACGACAGTGGAACAGCACTCAACTGCGGTACAATTTTTTTTTCGCTTTTTTTTTTAAATTTTAAATTGTGAACGAACGATTGGTTGCTATTTATAGACGGGATGTCACGTGACTTCCATTGCTGTGGCTTGATAAAAGATTAGCCTGATTAAAACACTAACTAGTATATCTCTCGCCGGAGGTAAGGGAAAGTTAAGTACTCTAAGACATGTCGTTCCATCGTCTAGATGGAGTAGAGTTCACCTGTTACTTCTACCTGAGAATATGGAGCCATATTGTTTTAACCCACAAGCAAATCGCTGGACTCTTTCTAAACTAAAAGCTTGCGGAGGATAAAATGCAACTAGTGCCTTCGGTCAAGTGTCCATTCGGGCAGTGATGGCGCTAAACTGGACGCCTCAAAGAAAAAAAAAGCAGGCAAGGCCAAGGAAGACATTGAGGCTCCCGGCTGGGAAGCAGCTGGCAGAGGCAGGAATGTCTTGGGAGACTGCCAGGAAAATTGTCGGAGACTGACGAAGGTGGAGGGAGCTTTCTGTGGCGGGGCCAATGTGTCTTGGTCACATAACGTGAAAAGATTATTGTTGTCATCATAATATCCCGACACCTGACCCACCCCCTCCCCCCTCCACCCCAAGTGATGCACACACAAACAGTATAACCTCACATCCGTTTTCACTACCGTCTTTAGCTGTGCCCTACTCCCTATACTTCCCTCACACAGTCATTTGCCACTACACTTACACAAATCTCCCACTAACTCAAATGTTCCTTCTAAGCTGCGCGTTTTCGCGGCCGCGCAGTAGTTTTAATCCTGCCGCGCAGTAGTTTTAATCCTGCCGCGCAGTAGTTTTAATCCTGCCGCGCAGTAGTTTTAATCCTGCCGCGCAGTAGTTTTAATCCTGCCGCGCAGTAGTTTTAATCCTGCGGTACAGCCGTTTTGTAAAACACATATATCCTTGTATAAGACTTTTACAACACAGCGGACATACAATATAAATTACACACTAGTTTTTTGCTCCTTAGAGGGAACGTTTCTCCCGATTCCCATCACTAGTAACCCAACCTCCTCCTTCCCCCGCGCCTTCCCCACCCATCTACCACTAGCTATCAACACCACTCCCCACTCCCACCCATGTGACCCACCATTCCCCACTCCCACCCATGTGACCCACCATTCCACACTCCCTACCCCACCCCTTCCTCACACATCTCCCACTAGCTATCAACTGATTCCCAACTAACTCCCAATACCATTCCCCACCATTCCGCTCCCAACACCAACACCCACTCCCTTCCAACACCATTTCCCACTCCCTCCCAACACCATTCCCCACTCCCTCCTTCCCCCACTCCTCAGATCCCACTCATTGTTTGCTTGTATTGCAGGTCATGAAGACATTAACATCACCTGGTGGCCGAGAGATTTTTGTACGGGCATGACATTCCGTTTTCATTACAGAGTTCGTAAGTCACAGCTACAAGTTAGGGGTGGACATATGGCCCATTCACAAATGTCTCCTTTTTTAAGTGTCGGTCTTTCTCTCAATATATATATATATATATATATATGTGTGTGTGTTTGTGTGTGTATGTGTGCGTGTGCGTGTGTAAGTGTGTGGTTGTGGGTGTGTATCTGTGGGTGTGTGTGGGTGTGGTTTGTGTGTGTATGTGGTGTGTGTATGTGGTGTGGGTGTGGTGTGGGTGTGTGTGGGTGTGTTTATTTCAGTCTCTCTGTCTATATAAAATTATATATACCCATACGTATATATATATATATATATATATATATATATATATATATATATATATATATATATATATATATATATATATATATATATTAATATATATATATATATATATATTAATATATATATATATATTAATATATATATATATATTAATATATATATATATTAATATATATATATATATATATATATATATATATATATATATATATATATATATTAATATATATATATATATATTAATATATATATATATATTAATATATATATATATTAATATATATATATATATTAATATATATATATATATATATATATATATATATATATATATATATATATATATATATATATATATATATATATATATATATATATATATATATATATATGTAAATATACTGATGCACATGCACATTCACATATATCGTAGCTACAAATGGGCTATCATTGTAATATCGTAGATTCAAGCATATTAATCATTAGCTATCGTCCATTTCATAGTCACACCTACCCACCCTCTATAATCATGCAACTTATTAAAGAAACAGTTAAAACTCCAGCTTATATTTAAATCTATAATAAAAACAATTCACAACTAATATTTAGGACTACAGTAAAACCGCTAATATTAAACTACAATAAATCTCCGAATTTTCCAGCGTACTACACGAACGGCGGCTTCGTTAATGCAAGCCTCCACTACCACACCGACCCCAACCCTATCCTGAGATACGCGGACGACTTCGACTGTGAAATGATGCAACAAGTTGGCCTACAATGCCCTCTCCACAATAAGTGTACGAGATAAACAATATAGGCCACTAATAGGGCTGGTAAGTAAGTCGCCAACCAGTTCTACGTCTCAATAAAACCTGCATGAGCCGTAGAACTGGTTGGTGACCTACTTACCAGCCCTATAGCTTCACGGCGGTAAAAAAAAAAATAGAAGAAAAAAATTAAAACCGTATATATAAAAAAATTTAAGCAATTCATTTCACATCAATACTTTTAATTAAATGAGCTAATTAATTATGATTTTGTTTAATTGATTTCAGTTGTTGTAACGTTGACGAAAACAGTCAAGGACGAAAGACGTCTCAGCGCTTACAACGTGAGTAGATTTAGCCTATTGGCCGTAGGAAAGTTAACCAATATTACATTACAGATTTAGCCTATTGGCCGTAGGAAAGTTAACCAATATTCCATAACAGATTTAGCCTATTGGAAGTAGGAAAGTTAACCAATATTCCATAACAGATTTAGCCTATTGGAAGTAGGAAAGTTAACCAATATTCCATAACAGATTTAGCCTATTGGAAGTAGGAAAGTTCACCAATATTCCATAACAGATTTAGCCTATTTGCCATGTGAAATTATTTAGAAATATTCCATATGAGATTTAGTTAACTGGCCATATGAAAGCCATACGAAAGTTAACCAATATTCTATAAGTGACTTAGCTATCCGTCATTTGAAATTTAGCCAAAAGCTATAAGTGATTCAACCGATTATAAACGTATCCTTTCGAACCTGACGGCTCATATGGCAGGGGGAGTAGAGTTCACCTACTCCTATGACCGTGACTTATGAAGGAATAGTGTAGTCAAGCACAAAACAGAGCTGGGTGGAATAGATCTCTCCTACAAACTCGAGTCGTTGATCCCAACTCGATAGTTTCGGGTTAGCACTCGTGCGCTCTACCAAACAACCACACCATCTCACGATTTCGCCGATTGACCATTAGGTCTATAATTTCTTATTATTCCCCTAGTCTGCAGTTGAATATTATTCGTCTAGTGAGCTATTCATCCTATCCTCAGGGATCCTACGATATTCTCATCCAAGTCTGGAACCAGGACAACAAACCAATGCTATGTGTCAACATCAGCCTAGTTATACTTGACTGCCACTAACTAAAGAACTAATTTATTTTTACGAATTAAAATTTAGTTTTTATTTTGGGTTTAAAAACAGGCTTAAACAGTAAATAAAACTAATTTTTAGAAGCTTTTAGTTAACTTCCTTTCTCTATCTGTCTAAAAGTAGAAAAATCAATGAAATTCTGTAAATGTATTATTACTCTACTATTTAAATAACTATAAAGAAAAGCGTGGGTCACAAATCCGATTCACGGTTGGATTTTCTCAGTGCCGACAATATAACTATTTAAGAATGGTTCGGTGAATGCGCATCCTAAACTGATGGGGTTCGGTAGACCAAAAAAGGTTAAGATTTAAGAACCAGAGCCAAATTCGTCATACATTAATGGTGTAGGGGAGGTAACTGATAATTTATATACCCGCTTGTAGTGCGTTTTTATTCATTCCCCTTGCTCAATACAAAGTGTATTTATTTATGAATTTGATTTCAACACAATATATATTTCTGCATTTATTTTATATTAATCATTATCATGTAGATTTAGACAAACACAAATAAACTAATGATGAAAATGTATGAGTTATAAATGTAATCTCAAATCTCAAATGCAATACTGTCTCGTTCATAGTTTTGTTAGCAATGTTTTCTATACATAAAACTTGAAACCGCCCTTTCTACAAACGTCTGTAAACAGTTGACACTGAGTACAAATACTCGAATATTTCTAGATTCTAATTAGAGAAAAAAAAACATGAGGGCTTTGGTGCTAAATTCTCTAAACGTGTAAACAGACCACAAACGCACCTAATCACTAAATCCTTTTGTTAAGGAAGGCCTATAAATAGAAATCTCAGAGTACAAGTGTTTATTTGACTTTGGCTTATGAGTGTATAGTGTGATCAGCACCATGTCCAGCTGGATTTACTTGACGTAAGTCAGGTGCAAGATTCGATGTATGTAAAGCATGAAAATGTATGTATCAAAGCTATACGAAAGATGCGGAGAGCAAGTATTGGATAGGACTTAGCAGTGTGTTAGATCGAAACATTAGTACATAAGGTGGTACATCACTTTTTTAGGATTAATTTTTTTTCCTAGGTTGTGGTGAGGGAGGGAGGGGTTAGAGTTCTATTTTGTAAAACTCAACCGGCGGTGTGTTTACGTGGGGGTGAGGGAGGGGGTTGAATAGAGGGTCTTCGCCCATTCTCTCCCCTTCCCAAGCTTACCATGCTTTCGACTCATATTGTGTAGAAATCTTCCAGCACTGAGTGGTAAGGGGGGGGGGGAGTAGCGATGACTGAGGAACAGGTATATTTAATTAAATAGGATATCATCATACAAGGCAGATTGTCTTTAATTACATAATATAGTTAGCGTTGTATTTGTTAGTTATAAAAGAAAAAAATATTGGTTAAAATCCAGGCGGTGAAAGACAATACAGATAATAGGGTCAAAATTGCATTATAGATGTCAGTTTGTAAGTGGTACTAAATTTTTCCACGATAAACTATAACATGCAAACCCAATAGTGTCGCCCCCCCCCCCCCCCCCCCGAGAAATTCTACCGCCCCCCCCCCCCCCCCCAACGAAATGAAATTTATATACTTTATATAGAAAATATATACTTTTAACTTACTGATAAAAAGTTTGATAGTGGCTTTCCAGAGGCGTAGTGACCCCCCCCCCCCCCCCCCCGAAGAGATGCCTGGAAGAAACTCTGTATACGATTCACGCTCGTAACATTAAATTTACCAAAAAATTTCTGCTATGATGATCATAGGATCATAGGATCGTACATATAAAGATTAAATAAAGTTTTAGTGTTAGCTCACTTGGTCGATACAAACGTTTTGTTAACAGGTTGGTGTAACAATATTTTAAAACAACAAAACACCGGTAACACAAATAGTGGTTCGCATGATGCAGTCCCTAGATTTAGAAATTCATTTCTTGACCAAAAAATTGATCATGTATTTTGTTTGAGACCCGGGTTCTGACTAAGAAAAAAGGGTTGTTTAGAAAAATGTGACGAGAAGGGGGAGGGGGTGGAGTTACGTAGTAGCAGAAATTTTTATTCGTTATACTATTGTTTCAAGGCGGATTGACTTAAATTACTTAATGCTATTTTTTATCTTTTTTTTCTGTTAGTTAAAGTAAATAATTGCTATGAATCTAGAACATAGACAATGGAAATAAAGCTAGGTGCATCTGAAGGTCGAATTTTTAAAACTTAGTAGAAGAATAACATTGAACACAATGATCTCATTTTAGAAACAAGTAATTTTTATTTTTCAAATTATAAAAAAAAAATCAAATTAAAAAAAATATCTTATTGTCAGCATCCAGTTTTATTTGTCTGCTTTATAACCTGACTTTCCCCAAGAGAATCTATATATATAATTCTCCTCTTCGAGCCGTTAGAAAACAAGCTGCAAACGCTCTCCCTACCTCCCCACCCCTACATGGTTTTAGTGAGCTGTGTTCACTCTAAATGTTTACAAGCAGAGCCAACGATTTTAAACGTAGGGGGGGGGGGGAGGGGGGAGGGAAGGGGGGGGGGGGGTTATAGTCCTTAACGAGCTACTTATAGTGTTTTAAAGAAATATTTTCAGTGTCAGCGTTGGTACTGTCGAATTCACAAATTATGAAATAGCGGCGTATGTTATGCCGCGGGCCGGCTCGTATTGTTTATTTTGCTTCTTATAACAGCGTCAGATCGGTTTTGTAATATTGGGTGTATTAATTTAGCTTCATGAATCTCGCGTGATGAAACATGTCTCCTCTCTTCAAAACACGATCCAAAAGCTTTGTTTAGTATTTCTTCTTCATCTCTTGTCCATCGTGTTCTTGAGTGTAATACTGAAAATAAAGAAAAATATGTTTTTCATTAGAGCTACGTTTACATAGGACATAGGTTATTTTATTCAACTTAGCTAACAATTTAAATCGTCATTATTCTATCCAATACTGTTGTTAGCGTTCTTTGGCAATAAAAGGTTAATTGATAATAGAGATGTTAAAACTTTATAATAATTTTATTTCGTCCTTACTTCCAAGTTTAAAAAAAAAAATTTAATAGTGCTTAGATTTTGTACATGGATTATCACATACCAGTTTTCAATGGTGTATTTTCTAAAACCCTATTAATAGGGTGTTCTTCAAAATCTTCGTCTTCCAATCCCCCACAACATTGCATGTCCTCTTCTGAATCTGTCTTGTCATCGTCACATGTCGGCTCAGGGATATCTGTAAAGATGCTCAGTTACTCAAAGTGTTTGATGAAAAGCATATCATTAATTAGAATTTAACTGTGCAAATATTTATTACCTGTAATATCTATGGACCTTATGCCAGAAAATTTTGACAGGTACCCATTCTCTACAGCCAATAGCACTCTGGCCACTTTTGTTTTCTCTATTACTGATGATTGTAGCCGATATATATCCGAATGTATATTTAGCGAATGACCCATGTGGTCAGCCACCATCTTAAGTTCTTCTCCGGACATGTCAAGGATCTAAAACAAACAAGAAGCTTGTTAAATATGTGCATATTAAAGGCAGCTACTATCAGTCAGCTAAAACAGTTAGTATTCGAGTGTTCTAAAAATATTAAAATGCCGCGCTCACTTGTGTTGTTGTAGCAAAATATTTCCTCAGTCGGGTCCGTACTAAATCTGGTCTTTGAACCCCTTCACACAGCCTTGGTGTATCCCAGAGGCGTAGCGATGGGGGGGGGGCAGGGGAACATATGTCCCCGGGGGCGCCGACCTTAGGGGGCGCCAAAATGGGTTGGAAAAAGTAATCGAAAGTTTGAGGGGGGGTGGAAATCAAGTTTGAGGGGGGGGGGTGCAAATCGAAAGTTTGTGGGGGGGGGGGGGGCAAATCGAAATTTTGTCCCCGGGCGCCGGGAAGGGTCGCTACGCCTCTGGCATATCCCGCATCGCCTGACAGCCACCTAATGGCGACAATGTTTTCCTTGCAAACATGTACGGGTTTTGATCACTGATGCCTCCACAACTTCGATTCGCCAGCAAGTGTTTGAGGCCAGCTAGCATATATCCTCAGTTAGTAAGATGAAAACTTTTCGCAGCCCGCGTGTGCTTTTTCCTCTTACCTCTATCAAATCCATTCTGTAAAATTGTTAAAATTAATGTTTTATTTTTAATCACAAATAATAGATTAATAACAGTATGTGCTAGCGAAGTTTATTTGATTCCTTAACTACTTTTACAGAGATTATGTTATTTACATAAGGAGAGGCAAGAAAATGTTTTGTTTGTTTTCCTAACAAAAATTACAGAATTCTACACCGTAAAGCCCCTGGCTAAATTCTATGGAGCGAAACGTGGTTAGTGAAAAGGGGCCTTTGATTGGCAATGGGTGACCTGCGTAATAAAATCGAACAATAAAACACTTTCACATGAGCGTTATTTGCGCTACAGAATCGAACAAAAAATTACCTACCTTTGATCCAACAGTCGATCGGTAACTGACAGCGATTGGATGATTTCAGTATTATTCATATTATGAACTGTTCTTGTCACATAGTCTTCGACTTTAACTCTTGCACCTCCGACACACGCCTTTTGTTGAATAAAATTATCCTGACCAAAGTAATTTGGCACGGAAAGTCCAGTACTCTCGAAATTCATTTCGGATTTTTCAACCTATTTCCTTATTTAGGCTACAAGAAAATCCTTTAAGTAAATAAGGTCATCTGTAGAAGGCGCTAGATTGGTTTGGTTCATTGTGCTAAGTTTTATTCTTCTGTTGGCCACAGATGAAACATTATGGTTCCAATGGCTTTAAATAGCCTCTCAAAGTATTTTGCCTCTTTCTGTTTATTGTCATTGCTTAGCCGAATACCTATACTTTTTTTTCAGTATGCTGATATGTTTTAAGATGATTTCCTAAAAGTATCGCTAACGAGGGAGATGTAGCCTCCAATAACTTTTGTTTTACCATTAATAAAACTTGATCAAATTGTGATGCTGTGATATAATAGGACAAATCATTTGCTTTACTTGCTT